CACCTTAAATGACTTTTTAATTTTTACCTTATCTGCTGGGTAATTGACTGGTTTCTCATAAGGTTTCAAAAGTTGTATGGTCTTAGGCTTCTTGAGTCGAAATGATTTGGCAAGCTGCGGAGAAATTTTTAAGTCAAGTGAGACACATGCTTTTCAAATAAGGTTCATTACCCTTAATGTGCTTCTTGTTAGAACTTACAAAGTCTGAATTCTGAATGAGTTATATGCAATTTAGGTCAACTGGTCAGTACTACTTCAACGTAAAAGTAATGTAATGCAATGTAGCATGGGAAGATTCACTTACCTTTTTATCAGAAACAGCAAAGAATGGTAATAAGGGTTGATGCTGCGTGGCAGAATCTTGAAATGCTTTGATTTCTGAAAGCAATGAGAACAATAATTAAAGGGCCTGGTTCATTTTTCGAAAATTTTAACCATTAGTGTTAAACATTGCGTATAAACAAAAAAATAGAAACCACGTTCGGTACAAATTTTAAATGCGTCGGTTTGGTTTAAAAATCGAAGTGAATCCCTCCATTCCTTGAAATAGGCGCGTCAGTATTTAGCGCCAACCAGTTGCATGACCTGTTACAGGATAGTAATGAAAGCGTGCATACAAAGTCCCTTACGCTAGAGTTAGGGGGGAGGGGCGGCTAGACTTACGGGAGGGGGGAAGCGGACCGCCTAAAACGAAGCCCTCTTCAAAAAGAAAACACATAGGAAGAAACGGGAAGGTATATCTCATCAAGATATAGCTACACAACTGCTGGGGATTAAAGGTAACAAGAAAACTATGGAAAACTGGAAAAAATGAAAAAAAATTTGGAGTTCGAGGGCTGATATAAATCAGTACCCCTAAGGCTTCAGGACAATAGAACAACTAAATGCCTTTAGGGCCCAGAGAATTCAAGTCAATTAGAAAATTACTAACATTCTTCTTTGCTGCCTCTTACAGTTAAGTTCCGCTTATGCGAAAATTCAATGGTAAAGATTAAGAGAGCAATAAAAGATTAGAGCAGCGTCTTTGATTTTGGGGTTCAGTTCCAGCATGACATCATTTCTGGTATATTGAACTATTTAAATCATATTTAGGAAAAAACCAAAAGTATTCTAAGGTTCCCAAGTATGTCATTTACAATTCTTGCTAATTCAAAACATCCCTGGCTATTGCGTACCAGTTCAGAATTCGAATTGAGTTTAGTTTACTCTAACAAACACTTTTCTAAAGGTTTTTATTTCATTTACTGGTAACTATCAACAATGCCAATATGCGTATGATGCACGATTCTCGCTGTAGAGAGCGCTATTTATGCAATAGCGAAAATCAAACCTGAAAAAAATCAGGCCTGTACGGGATTCGAACCACTGACCTCTGCGATACTAGTTGTTAGCTCAATGGGTGGTTTGCACGTTACGTCATTGCAGCCATGTTGGTGGACGTAAACAATAGATATCTCATTAGCTTCTTTTGTTCGTCCACCAGCATTTGTACCTTTCACCATTGTTACCTGTGTCTCCAGAGATTGGTTGCAAACCACCTATTGGTAGAGCGCTGCACTAGTATCGCAGAGGTCAGTGGTTCGAATCCCGTACAGGCCTGATTTTTTTCAGGTTTGATTTTCGCTATTGCATAAATAGCGCTCTCTACAGCGAGAATCGTGCATCATACGCATATTGGCATTGTTGATAGTTACCAGTAAATGAAATAAAAACCTTTAGAAAAGTGTTTGTTAGAGTAAACTAAACTCAATTCGAATTCTGAACTGGTACGCAATAGCCAGGGATGTTTTGAATTAGCAAGAATTGTAAATGACATACTTGGGAACCTTAGAATACTTTTGGTTTTTTCCTAAATATGATTTAAATAGTTCAATATACCAGAAATGATGTCATGCTGGAACTGAACCCCAAAATCAAAGACGCTGCTCTAATCTTTTATTGCTCTCTTAATCTTTACCATTGAATTTTCGCATAAGCGGAACTTAACTGTAAGAGGCAGCAAAGAAGAATGTTAGTAATTTTCTAATTGACTTGAATTCTCTGGGCCCTAAAGGCATTTAGTTGTTCTATTGTCCTGAAGCCTTAGGGGTACTGATTTATATCAGCCCTCGAACTCCAAATTTTTTTTCATTTTTTCCAGTTTTCCATAGTTTTCTTGTTACCTTTAATCCCCAGCAGTTGTGTAGCTATATCTTGATGAGATATACCTTCCCGTTTCTTCCTATGTGTTTTCTTTTTGAAGAGGGCTTCGTTTTAGGCGGTCCGCTTCCCCCCTCCCGTAAGTCTAGCCGCCCCTCCCCCCTAACTCTAGCGTAAGGGACTTTGTATGCACGCTTTCATTACCATCCTGTAACAGGTCATGCAACTGGTTGGCGCTAAATACTGACGCGCCTATTTCAAGGAATGGAGGGATTCACTTCGATTTTTAAACCAAACCGACGCATTTAAAATTTGTACCGAACGTGGTTTCTATTTTTTTGTTTATACGCAATGTTTAACACTAATGGTTAAAATTTTCGAAAAATGAACCAGGCCCTTTAATTATTGTTCTCATTGCTTTCAGAAATCAAAGCATTTCAAGATTCTGCCACGCAGCATCAACCCTTATTACCATTCTTTGCTGTTTCTGATAAAAAGGTAAGTGAATCTTCCCATGCTACATTGCATTACATTACTTTTACGTTGAAGTAGTACTGACCAGTTGACCTAAATTGCATATAACTCATTCAGAATTCAGACTTTGTAAGTTCTAACAAGAAGCACATTAAGGGTAATGAACCTTATTTGAAAAGCATGTGTCTCACTTGACTTAAAAATTTCTCCGCAGCTTGCCAAATCATTTCGACTCAAGAAGCCTAAGACCATACAACTTTTGAAACCTTATGAGAAACCAGTCAATTACCCAGCAGATAAGGTAAAAATTAAAAAGTCATTTAAGGTGATCCAGCGATGTCCATTATATGTTGTTTAACCCTTAGCATACTAAGTGAACACCTATGTCCAGATAATACCGTTACTACTTTTGATACTTGTCTCTTGTTGAACTTAAGACACAGCATTATGTAGGTGTGTAAATTGTACCGGCTAGTTGATGTGACACCTATTGCAACTTAAAACGACCACAATGATTCCTGATTTTCATTGCAGTGAACCGTTCGTATGGCAACAAATCCCAAAGTCCAGCATTTTGCTCCAAGAGCAACACCAAAAACATGTCAATCTTTTAAGATAAAACTTGCTAAAAAATCAAAAGTTTGCGTTCAAATCACACCTCAGGGCCAGATCTTGGAGTTTGGCAAGACAATTCCTTCTCACTTTATCTGCCAGCCCTTGTTTCTCCACTTGATGAATGCCAGTGTCGCGAACACAACCGTTGCCTTGTTCATTCCCGAAAAGAATTCTGGGTAATTCCGCCTTAACTCGAAAAGGCAACTCCAATCATTTGCATTTCAAAGAATTATTAGAATCGTGTCGGGCCATCCAGTCCTACCAGCAAAATATCGCATCGATTGAAATTTTTACCGGTCAAAACATGGCCACATAGCCTTGGTAGGTCCTGGAATCCATCCACAGATGGGCCCGAGAGACAACTTCACTTGTGAACTCGCCAAGCTGGCAGTAAAGCATCGTTGGCGGTCCAGTCAACATGAAACCATCTCTAACCTCTGTTTTCCTTCAGAGGCTTGCCTCTACCCACAATCCAGCTTAATGATGCCGTCGTGAGGGCTTCTGTAGAGGGAAAATGGCTCGAAAAACACTTATAAACGGCCAGAAAAGCGACACACCGAATCGATTTGAACGCATCCAAACACGAACTGTTGATTTGGGTCTTGTGACCCCAAGGTCTGAGCCCATGGTGTCTCAAAACCGCAAATATTGCAACGAATGATCCATGCAAGGATCATTCGGAGGTGGAAGTAGAAGGAAGGGCTGGGGCAGATATAGTTACTTTCAATTTCCAGAGCTCTCTGTCGGCCTCTTTCTCAGAGATGATGTAGATTGCTGAGAAAAAGCGAAGGATTGCGTAGGATTATGTAGAATAATGACAATTTCCTGCAGATCATTCATGAAAAAAAAACCTACTGCAATATTATCATGGAGCTAATCAAAGGGATGACAATGACGTAGTATTTCAAAATGAGTGCGAGTGTTTCATCGGGGTATCCAAACACGAAAAAATTGATGAAAGCACGAGGCCGTAGGCCTGGTGCTTTTATTGTTTTCGAGTGTTTGAAAACCCCGATGAAACGCGAAGCACGAGTTTTTGAAATTGCTTCTCAATCGTGCATCATTAACCAAGAACTATGAAAAAATTCTGAATGATTTTGGCATCAGTGGGGTTTGACATTTTATCAAGCTCTAGGGTTTGATATTTCATCAAAGTATAGTGGAAAAGCCTCTGTCCAGTGTTTCATCGGGGTTTCTCAACGCACACATGTGGCCAAATTGGCGTATCGTGATTGGTTTGTAACTTGATGAATTATTAATGAGTCTGAGAATTATACTTCCTCAAGGAAAGACTTCCTTTTCAAAACTCTAAATTTGTCTTTTGGACTTAGCTAATGTTTCATTTCAGGCCATAACAGCAGAAAATATCAACAGCTTTATTACGCAGAACAAAAGGTGAGAATTTAGGTGAAAAAGAGCGATATTTTCGCTATTTTAGGAAAATATTAGTTGCTGACCTGTCAGATCACAATGAGTAAAAGGTTTTTCAGTAATTTTTAAGACAGATAAATGAGAAATTGTCATGATGATTATGCCAGGTCTTATAGACGTGAGTAAGCATATACATGTACTTCGGTGACACACAATGGGATGCAATTGACCGATAAATGACTGTTTACACATGTGGAAGTAAAAAAGAAATAATTGTGTTTCTTTGCTCGTAACCACCATCAAAGATATTTAGGTATGTTTTCTTTTTGTATCCTTTTGTATATTTCAGAGGCATTTTAACGAAGATTAGACTTGAAGATATCCATGATACATGGGTGAGTTC